ATATTAATATTTTATAGGACAAATATTTCAGTTTTTAGATTAGATTGTGACCTTAATAATTTTTAGAAATTAAAACTAATATACACTAATTTCTAATGTCAGTAAAAAATCTCTAATTTAATTTAATAAAAATAGCTATTGTTGTCCCTCTACTTTAAAAAAATTCATATAAATCCTTCAACTTTGAAGAAAGCGCCAACCTTATCCTGCTGTCAACAGAGATCGGAACGTCTTCCGGCTTCCGCCCTTCGTTAAAACTCTCTAAATTTTAACGGTAAAATGACATTGTTGGTCCTAATTTTCAATTTCTAAACACTTTGATCCTTAACTTTAAATTATTAAATTTGGTCCCTAATTTCAACTTTTTATTGCAATTTGGTCTATAAAAAGTTTAAAATAGTTATACTTAAGTTTCAAAATTTTCAATTTCATACATTTCAGTTATTTTTTACACAAATAATAAAAATCCTATAATTTCCAATAAATCATGTCAATTTATTCAAATATCAATAAAAGAAAGGTAAAAAATAATAAATTAAAATATTTTAAAATTTATATCATTAAAATGCAAAATCAAGTTTTTGATATCTGTTTTTGTCAAAAAAAAATATTTGATACTTAATTTAGAATCCTACAAAGTATTATAATCAAAATGATAAAGTTATAAATGATATTGATATGACTTGTAAATGTGGAATAAATGTGGTCATATAAATATCATGGACAAATAATAACTTGAGAATTATTTCTATGGTTATGTGTGTATAACAAGAAAATGAAAGTAAATATTTTGTTTTTACACTTTTATTGATCATATTGTTTTTCTTTTTTCATCTTTTTTTATAAGAGTAATGTACATGTAAAGAGCTAAATGTCATTTTTTTATTTTTAAGAATCTTAAATTATATATTAAATACTTATTTTTTACTTTATTTAGACAAATTTTATATTTTTTAATTTATTATTTGTCTTAACTTTATTACTATTTAGACTAATTGAATGCAATTTTATTAGATTTTACATTATTTTTATTATTTATGTAAAAAAATTAAAATATATGAAATCTACATGAAATTAGCAAATTTGGAACTTAAGCATAACTCTTTTAAAAGGTTAGGGACTAAAATGCAATAAAAAGGTTAGAATTAGGGCCCAAATTAAATAAAATTGAAGTTTGAGTGTTAAAGTGCATAAGCACTAAAAGTTAAGGGACCAACAGTGTTAGTTTACCATTAAACTTTCAAGGATTTGAACAGTCAAATGAACGGCGTTATAACAGTAGGTTAACGGAGGATGTTGATTGCCCTTTTTATTGCAAAGTTGAGGAATTTCTCTGAATTTTTTTTAAGTAAAAGGATGATAATGACCCCTTTTGCAAGTTGAGAGATTTTTCGTGGCATTAAGGCTCAATAAAATTTTTAATTATAAATTTATAATTTAACGTGAAAGTGTGGGGAAAAGAGTATTGCTTTTCCACATTAGTCCCTCTACGAGAAAACACTTCTCCTCTCCTTGTGGCCCCCACTACGGCATTCATTCTCAACCCCACCACTTTTCACTTTCAAGTTTTAACCCCTTCCTCTTTTTCACTTTCACCGCTACTTTTGCCCAAATGACCGTTCTACCCATAGAATCGTGCACTACGCAGGGGCCCCATCTTGGGCTTTTTCGTCAAACAACTAATTCCAACAACCGTATTCGAATCGTATTCATTATTCCTTTCGTGCAGTCCAATCCGTGCCAGTGTGCCCAATGGAATTCAATCTATGAAATGACTATACTACCCTCCAGTCTTTTCTCTCATTCCGTCTTCATTCAGTTCTAGAATGAGGGTAACAGTGCAAAATCAGTGGTTTTATGTTTTCCCAAACTTACCCATTCGATGACCACGGGGCCGCTTTGAAGACTCTGGATTCCTTGCGGACAAAGGAAAGGGCATTTTCGAAATCTTAGGCCGGCGCTCTCAACGCGGTCCATAACGTGGTAGTCCATGATTACGTGGCATCGTGATATCAGAACCAAAGAAACAAACCTGGCGCACTAGTCAACACGTACTCCAGATACAACAGATTTCATCTCTGATCCATGTAGGATAAGACGTGGCACTCCCGTCCTAATCAGCATTAGCCACCCGTCGATCCTTTATAAATTGATTAAATGTGAATTTGGATCTTGTTTGGGCAGCTTCACAATCCAACACTGTTGAAGTCCTCAGCTGCTTCTACACCTATAAATCCTGAGGATGTTTCCTTGGGGAAAACACTCCGACGCTCAAGTCAGCAATACTCGATATTCTAGAGAGAGAGGCTCTCAAGGAGTAATTGCAAAGAGAGAAGCGTAGAAATTAATTACTTTTCTCGAAGGTAGTTGGGGGGTATTTATAACCCCAAGTGCTGACATGCAGCTGTACATGTAAGCATCTCATTGGCCCACGTGGTGCTGATCACGTGGGTATGCTTGCATTAGTGTTCCTTCAACTTGGGCTAGTGGGCGGTAGTCTAGGCCCGTTATGCACAGCCCTGTTTGGATGTTGGGCCTATGTTGGGCCTATGTTGGGCCTATTTCCAACATTACTCCCCCCCGGTGTTTGGTTGATGAACTAGGTTGGATGTGTTCGCGGGCCAATGCTCCAGTCGGTGAGTATGATGGACAGCCTCAACAACTCGCAGCCGACCTCGTTGACAGTCGAGCTGAAAGGTGATAGTAAATAACGCGAGCTCGAGAGCCTGAAAGTGTACAAATGAGCTGATGCGACTCGCCAGAGGTAAGCTCACTTGGTGGATAACCATGCGCTCCATTCAAAGTTTTACTCGCTATTCAAGCGAGCTCGTTTAGGATAACATGAGAGCGAGCGAAAGTGTGACGACCTGAATCTTAGACCTTGTCGAAGGTTTTGAAGTGAACAAATAAGGTTGTCCCTCAAACAGAGGGACGACCTGAGATGTAACGACCTCAACGTCAGAACGATTTGGGATCGCTGAACGGACCTAGGGCCAAAACCGAGTGGAGCGATCTCCAACCTCTAGGAATCTGTGATTTTGGACAAGCTGTCATTCTTCTACCGAGCTGGTAAATGTGGTCGTCATGACGAGCTGGTAAATGTGGTCGTCATGACGAGCTGGGATGGAAGGGAAAAGGGGGCAGCTCTACTTGTTACAACCTCAGCTGACGCTCTTGTGACGACCTGGCAGATGTGGCCGCAACAACGAGCTGATGTGGACAAGAAAAGAAGCAGATTACCTTGTAATGACCTGAATCTTGGGGATTTTAGCAAATCTCTAAAAAGATACGTGATCTGGGCGATTGATCTCCCGTATCTCCCTGCCTCCCCGCCATAAATGCTGGCTCAGCATTTAAGGGGACGTGACAGCTAAAGCCGGCGCACGTTATGCAAAAGGGGTGTTAAGCGGATGCCACGTGTATGACGTTAACTGGCACGTCAGAGACACGCGTATGACATTTAACACTGCAATTTCAGTTTTATGCTTTGCATAACTGTTCCTCTTTCCATTTTCATTTTACCATTGTTTGAAACTTGCTGAAGTTCTCTGTAGCGAAGCACTCCCGGCTTGAAGAACAGAGCATCAAACCACACCGACTACAGTTACACGTCAATTTCAGGTAAAATGGATTCGGTTAGAGAACTTAGAGAGCCATGAGGTAACTAGGGCAGAGAGGGAGAAAAGGGGGAGGTTATATCTGTAGAGCCTATCACAATGATAGTGCCGCCTGAGTTGCAGGACTTGCCGGAAACAATGGCGCCTGAGAGCAACGCCAGTTCGAGCACTAGGGACAACAGTGGCGACCACCCTACCTCACCGTCTAGTAGCTCGTCTTCTGAGGAGACACCCAGCCGCAAGGAAGGGACGGGCGATGTGGTTGGCAATGTCTCAGATCGGCCCGTAGTTGGAGAATGGGAAAATAAAGTACTTACGGGCAGATTGAGCAACCTATGCAAGGCACCAAAGGATCTGCCCGCTGGGTTTAGATTCAGGGCGACACTTCACCATGAAGTAGCGGAAAGTGTGCCCTCAGTAAGTGGGTTGAATAAACTGGAGGATTTGGTGAAGGCATACCACATTCCCCGGACAATACTACTCCGAGCAGGCGGGAAGAATGAGAGGGCGTGCACAGTGTCACGGATGGGCTGGAGCCCAGTGTACGTGGACAACTTTGAGGCCGGCCTGCGCTTTCCCCTACCCGGGCTAGTGTTCGACCTGCTGGCGGACTACGATCTGGCTTTGACGCAGTTGACGCCCAACAGCATAAGGTTCATCATAGGTTTTATGCTGTTGTGTGCGAGGTTGGAAGTACCGGCAAAGGCGATTGTGTTCAGGTCGCTGTTCCAATGTCGGTTGTGTCCTAACTCTTGCGGCGCGAAGTGGTATTACCTCTCCAAGAGAGAGAAGAGCCAGCTGTTCAAAAACGTCAAGAACAAGGTGGCGAGGTGGAAGAGGCAGTTCATCTTTATTCGCGATACGCGAACAGAGAGAATAAACAATGACCTCGCTGCTCGGCTATCGGAGTGGCGTGTGCCGAATGCACACGTCAACTACCCTCAATTGCTGCCACGGGACACAGATCTTAAGAATCAGTTGCTAGAACATGCGAGGAAGGAGAATTTGATAGATCTAGACGCCCTGGTTACCTCGGAGCAGCTCGCCGTGTTCGAGTTTGTCGACGTGGAAAACCTGTTCACCGAAGGTATAACTTTATCATATATCCTGAATTCTAGCCGAGCTAAGTCTTATATATTTGTTTGTGCATGAGAGATGACCAGCATACTGGAACGCCAGCACCAACGAGCCCAGGGTTCCCAAGGTCGCGCGTCTGGTAGCGCGCAACAAAGGCAGACACGGTTTGACGAGCGGTCACCCACAACACCACAATCACGCAGCTCGTCACACCGTGGATCGAGCTCGACGTCAAGGCCACACGCCGATTAGCAAGCTGAGACTATGGCCCCCAATGCACGCAGGCGTGCACGTGAGGAGACAAAAAGTGAGGATGACGTCCCCCTCATCCGGCGCAGAACAAGTGGGGGGACTCAGCTCGCGCAGAGGGCTCCAACGGTGGCTGCGCGCTCGTCGAACCCGCCGTCTGCCACTGCGCGAGCAGTAGCAAAGCCTGCCTCTGCGTCGACCACAGTGTCGGCGCCAAGGATCGCATATCCAAACGGCTTCAGCTACGTGAAGCCAGACTGCCAGCCCGCCATGGTGCAAGGCATGCAGAGCTTTGTGCCACCCGTTGATCGTCAGCGGGCAAGGGCTTTTGTGCAGCAGCACGTCGGGCAAGCCGCCATGGTCAAGCTTATGGACGTAAGTATTTTCTCACATTTGTGTAACGGTTTTACTCTTCCATTTTAGGGACTTACAATTGTTGCTGTGTGGTAGGCGTTCAGCTACGCGGTGGCGTTGTTTAAGAGCGAGCAAGGGGCTCGCTCCCAAAATAACGAGCTCAACACCAACTGCAAGCAGTTGGCTGTAGAGAAGGCCAGCCATGTGGATGATGTCAATCGTCTGCAAGGTTCAAAGATGGCAAATCGCGTTGCTGCAATGGAGAGCCGAGCAGAAGAGCTCGCTAATAGGAATAATGAGCTCAGGGAGGAGCTGGAGCGAGCCCGCGCTGAGAAGGAAAGCGGGATCCAGGCGGCAAGGGATGAGGCCGCTCGCGTTGAGGAATGGGCAAAGAAGGCTGAGGCCGAAAGGGACCGTGCTTTGAACGAGCTGGGTTCCTTAAGGTTCCAGGTCGCTGAGGCTGACAAAAACCTCAACGCTACTAAAGAGGCGCTGAACGAATTGAAGGCATCCCATGCGCGCTCTGTCAGTATTGCCCGGGCTCAAGGGGCAGAGTGGCTGGCGGGCTCGGCCACGTTCCAAGACGTAGTGGCGGTGGCGTCTGCTAACATGACCACGGAGATCTACAACGAAATCCGTGGTAAGGTGTTGCACCACCGCCCGGACTTCCCCATCCGCGAGCTGGTGTTTTTCGACGGGGAGGACATTAACGAGTAAGGTAAGAGTCTTGCTCCCCTCGGTGACACAACGGTGCAGTTGAGATGGGATCTCACCGAGGAGGGTGTACCTATATGGCCGCCCTCGTTCTAGAGGAGGGGGAGGATCCAACAGGGTTGCCTTCCTTTGATGCATGGGTAGAGGGTGCTCCTGTAGCTGAGTAGGAGCCTTCAAGCACCCTGCCCAACTCTCAACCCGTAGTGGTGCCAGCGAGGTCGCCTATCAATGTGCCAGCTCCCGAGCCCGCTGCTCACTCGCCTCCAGCTCGCTCCACTCCTCCAACAGTTGATGCGTCCATGCCCGTCGATCTGACGGATGATTAGATTTAGGGTTTTTCCTTTCGATCTTTTGTATTTTTTGTTTCTTTTCACAAGCAATTGTATCGCGATCTCGTACTGAAATGTGTAATTGTTTTTTGAAAAGAAATACAAAATTGAAAATTACATCAAACTGTTCTTCTTTGTTGTATTGCATGTGCAGTTTACATTTCCACGAACAAATTCACTAATAACACATACATTAACTGTAAAATCTTCTAAGATTGTGTACATACCAAATATATGGCAACTGGCGTCCTTGTATGTCCGCTAACACATAAGATCCAGGTCGCTTGATTTGAATGACCATATAAGGACCTTCCCAATTAGGAGCGAGCTTACCCATGTGTGAATAAGTGTTGGTTAATCTAGCTTTACGTAAAACCAGATCACCCACCTTGAACTGACGAGCTCGTACTCTCTTATTGTAAAATTTTGCAACACGACCCTGATATGCCATATTCTTTATTCGAGACATCTCCCTAATCTCTTTTACAAGGTCTAGGTTTTCTCTTAAAAGTTACTCATTATTAGGATTGCCATGGCGATCTGATCTACCAAATGGCAATCCGACCTCAACAAGGATGACGGCCTCAGCTCCATACGCCAGGTTGAATTGGGTTTCGCCAGTAGCCAAGCTGGGTGTAGTGCGATATGACCAGAGCACTTTATTGAGCTCGTCGACCCAATTAGAATATGCAGCTAAAACATGCATCTTGAGGCCTCGCAAGACGATTTTATTGGCGGACTTGGCTTGCCCATTTGACTGTGGAGTATACACGGATGTCAGGGCGAGCTCAATGCCATAATCATTACAAAACGACCTCAGTGCTGCTGCTCGGAACTGTGGCCCATTGTCAGCAATGATTCGCTTAGGTATACCAAACCTGCGCACCGATGATCAAGCTGAGCTACAAATTATATTTGCATATGATGTATCAATGACTTGAGTCATCTAATAATACTTGCACAATATTGAATTGAACAAGAATTCTTCTATTTTCTTTTCTGTTGTCGTGGACAATGGTTTAGCTTCTATCCACTTGGTGAAATAATCCACCGCGACAACGAGGTAAGTGCGTCCTCCTTTGCCTTTCACGAAAGGACCGAGTAGGTCGACTCCCTATTGAGCGAAATGCCAAGGAGATGAGAGTGATGAAAGCATTTCTCCTGTTGCAATAAAGATACTTATGCTCAGTTATCAGACGAACACAAAGTTTGCACAAACTTTAGAACAAGCTCGGATACTTGGCATGTGGATATCATCGGCATTGAACTGGCAGGTCGGGCATTTTTTGACATAGTTCTGTGCATCCTCAACCATAGTCGGCCAGTAATACCCATGCCTCAGGAGTTTCCGAGCTAAAGTTCTGCCACTGATGTGTGTGCCACATACTCTTTCATGAACTTCCCTCACAGCGTATTCAGCTTCATAAGGAGTAAGGCAGCGTAATAGGGGCATTGAGGCTGCTCGTTTATAGAGCTAGTTATCTAACAAAGTGAAATGTGCTGCCCTCCGTTTAGTCAACTTTGTAACGGACGGATCTTCCGGTAGCTCGCCACTTTGTAGATAATTTATGAGTGGTGTGGTCCAGCTCGGTGAAGAGGGATCTGTGCTGAGCAGCTGACACTCGACTGTGAAATCGATGTAGCTCAGAGCATCGAGTACCTCCATTATTGTTGAACTGTGCTGGTTGATCTCTTGCGAGGAGGCTAGCTTTGACAGCTCGTCAGCTCGTTGGTTATCTGCTCTGGGTATCTTGTCGATCTAAAAGGAAGCAAATCTTGACTTCAATTTTTTGACCACAGAAGCATAACGACCAAGTTGGGGATCCCTAATTTCACAGGGCATAATACCCAAATCCACCCCCAAAGTATAGTGGCAGGGACAGATTCACCCTCGAACAAAAAACGGGGACAAATTCACCCACAAAGTTTTCAACTTGGACAAATCACCCCAAATTTAACGTGTAACGTCATTTGACATCAGCAATCTGCTAATTTGACGTCATCTAACGTCATCAGACGTCATCAATCTGTTAATGAATTAACGAATTGCTGATGTCAAATGACATCACACGTTAAATTTGGGGTGATTTGTCCAAGTCGAAAACTTTGTGAGTGAATTTGTCCCCGTTTTTTGTTCGAGGGTAGATCCGTCCCTACCACTATACTTTGGGGGTGGATTTGGGTATTTTGCCATTTCACAGCTGCCATTCACTTGGCCCACAACGAGCTGAGAGTCACTAAAGACCTGAATGCTCTATACCTTCAGCTCGGATGCCAACTTTAATCCATAAATGAGGGCTTCATACTCTGCAGCATTATTAGTTGTTTAAAACTTAAACCTCAATGCGTGCTCGGATTTAAAGACATCTGGCCCTAATAGTACAGCCCCAGCACCCGATCCTTCAACATTAGCAGCTCTATCTACGTACAAAACCCAGACTGGGTGTTCACGTGCCTTTTCTTTCACAGTCGCCGAGACGCATTCCACCAAGAAGTCTACCACAACCTGGCCTTTTATAGTCGTTGATGAGCTAAATTTATATACATATTAATATGGAATTTTTACTTTGATTTTATTGATATTTGGATGAGTTTTATAGGATTTTGTTTGATTTTACATGGTTTTCATTCTTTGTGTAGAGAAGGATTTAATTGGAAGAAATCATACCTTTTAAAAGTAAATTGAAGAGATCAGAGACTTGAGGATCAACTTATGCAGAATCCAAAAGTCAGGAACCAAATCTGCTATTTTACCATTGAAGAAATTGCAAAAGGAGAGCAGAAACCTGACATGGGTGTAGTGTCGACACATGATCGGGGTGTCGACACCATGCGCTAAACGTCTAGAATCATATTCTGTTTCTTATTTTGTGTCAACACGTAATCCAAAGTGTCAGCACCACGCGATCAGCATCTAAAATTCAGCTTCCTATTTCTATTCCAAGTCCTACTTCTATTTCAATTAGGGTTTCTAAAATCCTATAAATACTCATCCAACTTTAGAATTACGAGAGCTCTAGAAGGCTTGTGGCAGCCCTCTTTTGGGCATTATTGGAGATCAAGATTGAGGTTCCATCAACAATAGAAGATCGAGAAGTTCGATTTCCTCAAATTAGGTTTTGTTTTTCCTTGGGTTTTTATTTTCCTTGGGTTTTTATTTATTGTTTAATATTTGAATGTTCATAACTTTGATTTCATATTTTATTCTTTTTATTATGAACTGATTTATTTTATTAAGGCTATGATGTAGCCTAATCAATTCAATATAGATTTTGTGATTTTATATTTTCAATTAAAGTTATTCGCATGAGGAGTTTATATTATTGAACTTAATGGCATTGGAAACCTGATTATCTTTCAATTGATTTAGTGATTTATGCATGAACTTGAGAAAGAATTGCGTAGATTAGACCAATAATAATATAAACCGTGTGCTAAACTATGAGACCGAGAGGTAATTAGCTCACATGTGGTAGTGGAGGAAGAGAAGAGAGTTAGTAGCTCCCCCTTCTTAAGCTAGAGGTTTCCATAGAATCTAATGCTTATTAGTTTGTTTAAAATTACATAAAGATATGATTAAATTAACAAACCAGTGAAGGATTAACTTGACTTGAGAAAGCTAGTTAATTAATTTAGGGAAATCCGCCATCACATGCAATAACACTCAACAATTTGGTAATCCAGAATTTATATTGATTGATTATGGTGAAATCAATGCCTTAGTACCTTATATCTTGGTTAGGTTTAATTTAATTGCTATTTTTCTTTTATTATTTTTTTAGTTAAACTTTCTTCCCATTTGGTTGTTCAAATAAATTTGGATTAATTATTTTGGTACTTAGTTAGCCACAATCCTCGTGGGTTCAACACTCTTCTTATCATTATATTACTTGGAGTGACTAGTACACTTGCTAGGATGATTTTAGTGCATCAAGTTTTTGGCGCCGTTGCCGGGGATTGTTGATTTAATTAATATTGAAGTTGGTTAATTCTAGATTTAATTTGAACGTTTGCTTTTCTTTTATTTCTTTACTTTGATTTTTTTTTTGTTTGTTTTGTTTTTGTTTTTGTAGGTGTAACTATGGATCGAGTTGTCTTAAACACTGATGTGGATTATCAATGGCTTGCGCCGGAGATGAGGGCACAAGTTGAAGCAGTAACTATCTTGCTAGCAGAAATTGACGATGATGAACTTGAACGATTTCAAGCAGTCATTGAAAGGATCAAATTAAAGAAGGCTATAGTAGAACGATTAAATATCACTTGTCAATGGTGTAGATGTGACCATTTTAGTTCTGATTGCTATTTTAAACGATCTAACAAGTGTGTTGATTTTTCTGGTGATTTTTATAGTCAACAGTATAATTCTTATCCCAATACATGCCATTTTGATCCAAACACCTCATGGAATAATGAAGATATATTGGAGCCACAATCAGGGTTTCAAGCTCCAAAAAAGGAGACATGTTTGAATAAAAATATAGAGGTCCAATCAATTCATTTGCTCAACTTAGTTGCTGAAGAGATACAAGGTGAGTTACCTAGTGCAACAATGAAAAATCAAGAAGAAGAGGTAAACACTTTACTCTTGGAGATTGAAGGACAAACTGAAGAAGTGGAAAGCATGCCTGCAGAAACTAAACAAGAGGATGTCCCTAAGGAGGAAGAGGAAAAAGCTCAGGTGTCATTTGAAGTGTTCAATGGGGAGTCTCCTTTAACCAAATCTGATTTTAATGATTATTTTGTTATTGATATGGTTGATGAGATTTTGCAGAAAAACACTTATGAGGATTCATTTGAGACTTACCTTATTCAAGAAAAAGACTCAATCAAAGAATACATAAATTACTTGAACACATCATCTTCCTTGGAATCAAAGGGGGCACTTCTAGAAGAATTGGGAAGGCACATCTGTTGGCCTAAACCCAAACCACCTCAAAATAGTCATTGGAAAAAATCTTATGGTGGATTCAACTTAAGGGCAAGAAAGCCAAGATTTAAAAAAACGAGAGGACATGCCCTACGACCTGATCCAAAACCACCTTGGAGTGGTAGAAAGTCTAGCTAATGACTATAAATTCAGCGCTTCTTGGGAGGCAACCCAAGCACAAAATTTTCTTTTCTTTTATTTTTCTTTTATAGTTTAGATTTTCTTTTAATTTTTTTCTTTTTCTCTTTATGGCCTAGGTTAATGCATAAATTGTTGTTCTTTGATTTTGGCCAGGTCATTGAACAACTTTGGGGGACAAGATTATGGAAATTCACATGCTAGAAGTCTCCTCTAAATGAAGACAACTCAACTTCAAAACTTCAATTTTAAGTTTTCAAGTGCAAAACCCGGGAAGTTTCTCTTTTTTCTTACTTTTATTTTACATTGAGGACAATGTTTGATTTAAGTTTGGGGGAGAGATACACTTTTAGGCATCCATTAGTTGCATTCATATTTGCATGATATACATTTTTTTTTTTTTTAGAAATTAGGGTATTTTTTTTTAGGAATTGGTCCAATTAGTGTCAAGGAATTGAATATTCTTGAGTTAGAGCTTTTAAAATCTTTTAATCGTAAAGGAGATACAAATCTGAAAAATAACACCATTGTGATGAAGTTTAAGTTCATGAGTATTATATTCTATTTAAGCACAAGTTTGTAGTGAGAAGTTTAGAGAGAAGACTTAGTAGCATCTAAAAAGCACCAAAAAAAAAAAAGGACAGAAAAAAAGAAAGAAAGAAAGCCAACACACAAAAGAATTTATTAATTTATACTCCAATGTTTCTAGTTGCTTAGTAACTGGGGGTTAGGCATGAAACCCATGTCAATTTTCACGTCAAACGACGACTTGAAATATGAGTATGCAAAGCACTTTGAATTTATGACTTATTGAGTAACCGGGTGCTTTCATCACAAATGTTAGTATTCGCGTCAAAAGACAAGTGATAACTTAGGGAAGAATGTGTTGTATGGCTGAAGAAAAAAAAGAAGAAGAAGAAGAAGAGAAGTCGAATGTTTCGTGGCCTTTGTTACTTGAGTAAGTATGTTCTTAGGGGTGTCTCTTCACCTAATGCCCTAAAGCTAACTGGTTTGGGAGTCATTGAAAAAAAACTTGTTACATGGGTAACTTAGAAAGCCTAAAGAAACTCGACTTATGAGAAAAAAAAATTGAGGGGAGAAAAAAAAAAAAAGGATAGTAATAAGTGCTAAGGTGTGAATGTCTAAACTCGAAACTTCTTACTATAAATTTCCACACACACACTCAGTGCTCATGGGCTAAATCTTTTAACAAGTGGTGTGAAGAATATGATGAGTATCTAACTTTAAGTGGGTATATGAAAACTCTTGAATATTTGAAACTTTGTATCTAATTGAATTTTAATTCCTAAATTTTCTTTGCATGCATATCATGTAGTTAAATTCTTACATTGGGATTTTGTGGGTAGATCCACTGCAAACCCTCACGAGACACAACTTGTCCACTAGGGTGACCTAAGGGTTTAAAGGCTTATTGCACATGCTAAGTGCAATCGTGATTCCTACGAAAGTGAGTTAGGTTTTATTTTTGTTTCTTTTATCTTTTTACTTTACTCGAGGATGAGTAAAACTTAAGTTTGGGGGAATTTGAT